CGCCTCCTTCTCGCGCGCCAGGGCCTCGAGCTGGCGGCGGCACCGCTGGGCCTCGCTCTCGGCCCTGAGCTTCTGCAGCGCGATGTCCTCCGCGGTGCGCTGCTGCTTGCGCAGCTCGTGCTCCGCGGCCTCCCGGACCCTGGGGAGCTCCTCCTCCGCCCGGGACTTCTGCGTCCTCAGCTCGGCCACCATTCTCTCCAGCTCGCCGATCTTCCCCGTGAGCTTGCAGTTCTCGACCGCGGTGGCCTTCTGGCGCTCAAGCAGGTCCGAGTACGCGCCGTGTTCGCAAGTCTCCCTGCACCTCTTCATCTACGAGAGACGTTTAACAGTGTCAAACCCGGTCTGCTCCGATGCAGCTGCAAAAACCCTGATGCCAGGCTCATGAAAGGCTGACAGAAGCTAAAGGAAACCCTAATGCAGAAGAAGCACTCTCACCACCGCCACCATCACCACCGCCACCACCTTCAGGGAGGAAGCTTCCGACAGCCAGCAGAAGACAAAACCCCTTCGTCACACGTTTTCTAAAGCACAGAACACTTTTTGGTTTTGTTCGGTTTTTGGTCTCTCAGAAATAATTTGGTTGTAGAAATTAGCTGGCCCAGGATTTCACAGCCAGCAGGGACCTTCCACAACATGCAGCGCACAGATGAGGAAACTGAGGTCCGGGGAGGCTGGGTCATCTTGAAACTTTCAGGACAGTGCTCTTTCTGCTCTCGGGCTCAACTTAGTCCGGGCTGGGAACATACAACACACAGGAACCGAATGACATGAGAGAAGCTGGTTTTCCGTATCTAGCCCAATGGAAGTGAAAAATGATGTTTACATCCCCTTGTTTTACGGTTAAAGAAACAAAATACAGGACTGTGGAACAGACAGCCAAACCGGGAAATAATACTTAACATGGGAAGGAGGAAAATTGTACAAAAACTTGTAATTTCTAAAGTCAAAATTGTTTCTTGTTTATATTTATTGCCATATGATGACAATTATCAGAATTGCTAATGCAAAGGCAGCTACAGTCCCCTGGTGGCCTCAGAAAAGACGAGCTTCACATACTCACAGATGGTGCCGCTCTCGTTAATGACATGCCTCATACGAATCCACCTTGACAAGTACCTTCAGATACTTCGTAAATACAAAGATATTCAGTAAATACAGTGCTTTTTAAAAG